AAAAAAAAAAATACACTTTGGGCTGAGTCTAAATGCTGCATTTAATTTTGATGAACACCACATGATGTCAACTACAGTTTGAGGATGCTCCAAGGATGGACCTCAGAGGTGCCTACCGCCAGTTCGCCACCCAAATAGACAAACTCTGGTTCAGAAGTTGGAAGTCATCCGGTTAGTGAACAAATATTTCCGAGCCTACCGTCGTATCTGTCGCGACGGCACGCTGGAGATCATCCTCCTCCAGTTGCCCAACATCTTGTTGACAGCGCTCCTCTGTTTGAAAAAGTGGCCCAAGGAGCTGTTCATCATCTTGTCCCGGTCGCTCTCCTCGCCGCCTCCGCCATCAGCGTCGCAACTCTTCTTCCTCTCGGCGGCGTCTTTGTTCTTGAGCGTCACGGCGTAGGCTGACTTCTTCCAGTGTCCCAGGAAGAGCACCACGATGCGCTCTTTCCTGAGACTGGTGCTCTCCACCACTTCCGGGGCCTTCTCCTCAGCTGGAGTCGAGGCTTCTTCCGCATTCTCGTTCTTGTTCTGCATCTCGAAATTGGACTTGAGCGTCCTCACCGACACGCCGAAGCGCTGGATCTCGTCCTCGATCCTCTGGCGCCGGCCCCTGGTGGAGGTCTGTCGGTCGGGCGCTTGCGAGAAGACGCTGGCCAGCTGGCTGTCGGGCATCTTGCAGTGCGGCTGTTCGGCCAAGTCGCTCATGAGCAGAGACATGCTCATGATGATGCCCGAGATGCGGCCGCACCAGCCGGGCAGCAGCGGCGGGCGTCCGGCCGGGTCGGCGAAGCGGGCGTGGGCGCTGATGTTGACGATGGCCGCCGGCAGGATGTGGCGCAGCTCCTCGGCCAGCCGCGCCAGCTCCGGCTCGTAGCCCTCGCCGGCGGTGCGGCGCAGAGTGAGGCTGGCGATCTGCTGCTCCAGGTAGGCCAGGTCGTGCTCGGTCAGGAGTTCGCCCGACGGACCCAGGATGGCGTTGTGGGCCTGCGAGTAGCGCCAGTTGACTTTGGACAAGCTCCGGCCGTTCTCCTTGAACAGATGAGCAAAAGAGTCGCGTTGCCAGAGTTGGGGAGTTCGTTACATGCCGCCGTACACTTGT